TTACTTGATAAAAATGCTTAAGTGTGACAGGCCATCGTCCAATGTTGTCCAGACTACTATACCTTTGTGCAATCAATTCCGAATTGGACATGATAAAGAATCGGAATTCCGAATGTCCAGGTTCCGATTGGCACCACTATAACAGATGAAGTAAGGTTTGGTAGAGTTTTTATCGAACGGAGATGATAGACGTTCGTTAATTGAAGAGAGGCGAATTCTGTCAACTGACCGGTGTGCAGCGTGCAGATATTGATACTCTGCAACTGTTATTTTTGTTTTTGTGTTGATTTTTCAAATGAAGGTATGTTTAGAATTGCTCTGCCTATTCGTTTATGGGTCAAGCAACATCGGTGCTGGCGAGACTATCGTTTTTATGGCAGGTAAAGGCATTATGTTCAAATTACCCCACGGTGGGGCAATTTTAACACACCGTGACTTGGTGGAGAAGTGATGCTATGCTATTCAATGTATGCTCGGCTCGTCCAAAAGCGAGGCTTGCATGGTGAAAGCAAGTGACACATGCGCTACTGAAACAGTTTTTTGTCACCCAGGGTTGAGCTGGAATTTGGTACAACGGAGAAGACGTAAAAATATGTTCAAATTACCCCACACTACCCTATTTATTTCAAAAAGACTTCAGGTTTGTCGAACGGTGTTATGAGAATTTTGATAACAGTACTGCATAAGTTTTTCAGTGATGCCGCAAAAGTGTTGTATCTATCTTCTTTTATTGTGCAGTCGGCGGGACCGATTCAAAATTGAGTCGTTGCTACTAAAATAGCAGCATATGGCGTCAGATGATGAACAGGAAAAATAGTTGCGTAAATTTAGACATAAACCACCCCCAAACCATGAATATCTTTTGAAGGCACTATAGACGACCATTAACTAACTAGATGTGATGAAGATCAAATGTAAGGAATACGCTCATTTTACAAAATTACATGCAAGTACCAAAAAGTGATGTAAGTACTTATTCAACGGTCATTTTCAGCGCTCCCCGCTAACGTGACTTCAAGTTGAGATATTTGCGGCAGGGTACCGAATTGAGCAAAATGGTTTTAATTTACATTATAACTTGTTGTGTTTTGTCAGAAAATGGTCCTAACTCAGATTTTGTGGAAAAAGGTCATTATCTCCCTTTAAGCTCATAACGTAATTTTGGAGATAAACTTTATCTGACAAAGCAGATATACATTGCAGCTGGAATGATGAAAAGAGGCATTTCGAATGTCAAATCCCATTGGGTATCAGACCTTATCATTAATCCAAGCCGGGTAGTGATTTATATTTGAAACCATCCAATCTATTCAAGCGTGCCGCGAATAATCTGATCCAGGATCTCTGATTTGCTGTGACATCAAACCCATTATGAATGTCACCATCAATGTCTCCATTCAAACAGTGTCACGCGCTGTACCAGGTTCGATTATCGAGTGATACAATCTGTCCGGCCACGCGACGTAATAACGACGGTAGCACGTCATGGTTTTATGACAATGGAATGGGATTCGGCTACTCCCGTCTGGTCATCAATTTCTGCCGCAGAATGGGCTGGGTAGAAATCGCCCTAGTTCCTATGCTCCCTTCGACCAAAAGATGGTAACTTGATCTAGCAGTCAGCCCTTGATAATCATGGTAGCAAAACGCCCAATGTGGATGCGTATTGCGTACTTGGCCAAGAATAACTTAGTATGCAATTGTCACGGAAGGATGTCGATAATGTTTTTCAGTCTATGAACACTTTGGAATAATTTTCGGTCGTGCCTATTGAAAGAAACTAAAATTAGCTTTACGGAAGCCGACTCTGGCATCTCTTGCGTCGTGTAGACATCTCACTACAAATATACAACTCTTTCGTCGCATTTAGACCACACATGGCAAAAGGTTCTGAGTGCAGCTAAACATAACACTGCAGACAAATGTGGCGCCCAGCTGTGGCTGGGAAAGGTCACTTATGAGATGTAAAATTAGAAACCAGAACCGAGCTGAAAATTTGTGGTGATTTATCACCTGAAGGACGGTTATATTTCTAGAACTTATGAGTTATGTCCGATCATATATAAGCAGTGCTACACCGAAAGCGACGAAGATCCTCGCAGTGAATATTGACAGATAGCCCGCGCATACCGAAAAGTCAGAGAGTCACATTACCAGACATCGATTTGCATTGGTCTAGCTTTTCTTTATGCTTTGCTGTCTACCCCAGGACAGAATGTATAGTCTCTCTTGAAAGTATCGCGACTCTGAGGGAAGGCGCCACCTGTCCCAGCCGCGGTTGAGCGGAAAGGTTTGAGAGCCGCTGGTAGCACTGACCGAAGTCTGACACGGAGGCAGCCGGCGCGGCGGGACGAGGGGAGTGGTTGCGGATTGCGGAGGGATAGGGGGAGGTGGCAGTCGCCATCCGCTAACTGGTGATGGCAGTAAGCATGTGGTCAACGGAAGCCACCCTGCTCGCAGAGGATTTGTTGAGATTTGTTTTATTGCAAAGTTAGCAATTTGACTCGTCATCGGCACGACTGTCACATTTTTTTTTTGGGGGGGGGGGGGTAAAATCCGGAAACTCGTGCCCATATACCCAAAAAATCATCAGTTGCACCCGCTAACAGAATGCATCCGTGCTTGCACATGCACTCGTAAGCGGATTCAAAAACAAGAATTATCTCTCTAGCCAGTTCGCCAATTCGCTGTCTAGCCATTTAGTCCTGTATTTGAAGTTCTCTCTATTTAATGAGCCGGTTAGTGAGCGGCGACAAAAAAAGAAAAGAAATGCTGTTCAGCCATGTTCTTTTTAAAAACTTATTTGATGCCAGGCTCCCCCCCGCATGACCTGTTTACGTCATTCAGTAAGGGTTATCACAGTAAGGGTTATGGCGGAACTTCGCTTCGTTGTGATTTTACGCGTCACGCACACTGAGTGATTGGCGCCCAGTAAGGCACACCCTTGGGCACACCAATGAGCGCCCGGCTGGTGAGCCCAAGAGGCACCGGTATCCACCTGGGGCGGTGGACGGGGTCAAGAGAGAGAGCGATACGAGCATGACCTTTGGCCGGCCTCCGACTGTTTTGACCCAGTTGTCAGCCGCTGGGGCCTGCGTCATATAGCAGTTTTCCTTCTACCGCTGGCGTGAAATTGTGTTACAACGTACTTTTTATGATACAGGCCATGACCTCCCTACTGGGGTCCTCAAACTGAATGGAATAGTTCGCTGAGCCGCCGCAGCCCAGGACGCGATACTTTCAAGAGAGACTATACCCAATGGTATAACACAGCGAGAAGAGTCGCGTATAACTAAAATCCCTACACCACATCCACCCACCCAAATTCATCCAGCCCCCAAACTCCCAACTGTCTTCAAATCAAATCATTGTCACATATCTCAGAGTAGACAGTTTGACACATATCACATCGACATGACGAACTAAAGCCGGGCTCCGGGAAAATGCTGCTTCACAACGACGTCCAGGGACATTTGGAGCTCTGCTCGAGTGTTCGATTTCGGTTGGCCCGGGCCTCCAGTGGGGAGGGGATGGTTGTGGCCTCGATAAAGTTACGGCCGCGTGACCCGCCCCGCCGCTTCCCCGTGTTCTTATCGAAACCCAGTTCGCCAAACGGTTAGGGAAATGTAGCAGGGTAGGGTCGAAATAGTGTAGTGAGGTCGAATTATCGGCCACTATGTCTATTGTTGGCCGATTTCTGGATCACGAAAGTTGTTCACTACGTTTTGTGCGATTCGGTCATCGTAAGAATTTCACGCTATTCCAAAGGAGACTGGCATGATACGAAAAAAAATACTGATCATGTTTGGGTTATGGAGTCCTTCAAGCTCTTACGTCGCTTGAACTGCTCAGTGTTCAAAAGCAGGCAGCTTTTCAGAGTTCCCATTCTGCTCAGCCACGCGGATCTGTCTAGTGTCTACCACTGTTCAACACAGGATTGACGGCATCGGTTGAAGTTGCAAGATAAACACCACTCCCTGTTGATTTTAGAGAGCTGATACAACAGGCTTAGGTGGTCGACAAACGGTAATCCACGGCGTGGGAAAACTCGCTCCGCAAATAGCGAAAAATGGTGGCGAGAGAAATGTTTCCGAATAGCGGTAGGATATAAGTGAGGGAGGGAGATTCCGAATAGCAGAACGTGCTTTTTTTATAACGCTATCGCCGGGTGTGCTTCAAAAGTTGATGTTGTGACAGAGTACGAGTGACAAAACCAAGGTCTTGCTGATCTTTGTTGACGTTTCATTATAGTTGTTTGACATATGGTCTTCACTCTTCACAGCACCCCAAATCTAGACTAGGCGCTCGTTTACCAACTGGAGCTTCTGACATTCTGTTTACATGAATAGCTCGCCAGTCGTTCGCATTCGTGATCCGTCGTGATTTCCATATGAAGCGTTTGAGTGAGATTTGGATGAACGAATTCGTATTTGATCAGGTGAAAAATACCAATGGTTTCACATGCGCTTGCAAAAGCGCCATACGCTACTTTTCTGAGTGGCAGATAGGGAAACATAAGCCATGAACATCGACAGAATGCAAAACTGGCGTAAGCAGGGAAGGGGTGCAACATTACGCACATACAGTGCAAGAAAAGAAACAAGGCCCCAGCTACCAAATTTGGTGTTGCTTCCGCCTAAGCCCGCTTTGCAAATGCCGAATACCGAAGGGGTCTCGTTTGGCGGCTGTCTATCTCAATGCTATTTGCAATGACAACGACATTGACGGTTCCAGCCGGACGTTTGGGGGAGGGGGGGGGGCAAATGACCGAAATAGTCACTTTCTTTCCATGAACCGCCGTAGGCGTAATGTTAAAACTCAGTTTTTTTGGGGGGCAAGCGGGCTTGGGGAACAAGACTCGAAATCCCCCCCCCTGGATCCGCCAGTCGGGACAACGACTTCTCTCCCACCAACATTTGACCACTCGAGACCCATCCTTTCCAGCGACCTCCCACCCTCCCCCCACTCCTGCGCCGCCGCCACCGACTATAACCCCTCACCTCTAGCGACGCAGTCCTGGGGGCAGATCTGCGGCCACAGTGACTCCAGCTCGTCACAGCGCTGGTCGGGACATGTGCGGAAGTCGGGACTGCACGTGCCATATTCGTTGGTCATCTCCTGGGCGACATACATCATACATACATGAATACATGACAGAATATACCGGGTGGCCCAGAAAAAACGTTCCCAACTTTAAATCAATATTTCTCAGAAAGTGATAAATATACAACATTGAAACTTCGAATAGTCAATGCGGCACACATTATCAGTAAATGGTGTGATTTTCATGGTGTTCGGTAAATTACTTTTTAAACGGTTCGTGTTTCAAGCATGCCATGTAAAAATTACTTTTTTGCTCCGATGTTTACTCAAAAATGTGAGTGAACAGGTCACTTTCACCCCTCGGCACCACGGCCTAGAGCCATGGCTGCTACTGGCAGCTAGTCTCATTGATGGTTCGGGTTTCAGGATGACACATTCCATCAGGCAACCACGATGGCTCTGTGCCAGTGGCATCGGAAGAAGTTTCCAGTTTTCTAACCATCTTGTGGCTCAAATGCTTTCCTGGCTGACATTCCTGGGAAAAGGTAGCTTTTCAACCAGTTTTCTTTTTTGTCATCTGCTGGCAATGTTGTTTTTCATAAAATGTTATGTGGTCTTCTGGCACAGGAACTAGTCTGTTTTAGTTTGTTTTCCTTATCCGGTCGATTTACTGTTTGATCTACTGAAAGGAGGGTAATCAGCAGTAATCCATGCACCGTGCCACGAATCATGATTTGGTGTTAAAACGAATGGCATCCATGAGCACCATTTTGGCTCAGTATTTGAATATTTGGCACATAAGTGAGACACAAATATTTAAAATAAGAACATACGTGTTGGTTTCATTCACATGCTCTATTTTTCTATTCTTTTTTTATAACATTAGGCGTCTAACCCAATCATCACTATCGTTTGACATCGGCAAAAAAAGCAAAAACGTCTTGCTTAATTCAACTCAAGATTGCCAGCTTGAAAATGATGGTATAGTGTTATAATTTAGCATACCAATGCGCAAAGAAATGACGCAAACTTGCTGAAAATTTTGTCTCGTTATTTGCACTCGAATTTGATATATAGGCCTCCAAAGTTCGGAACGTTTTTTCTGGGCCACCCGGTATACATGAATGAATGAGCGTGCAATATGGTGGATGGGCAGCATGGGCAATTGGGAGTATGTCCACTGGTGTATAGTTAAGTGAAGATTTTGGGAATTCCTCTGAAAGATTCATAGGCAATGTCAAGGAGCCATACGACGTTAGTAATATAATAGGAAGCTCGCCGAAGCTAGCAGGTTCGTATTCTTTGAACAGCATCAACTATAATAACTCTACAGACGGTAAGCATATCAATAAATATCCGTAGTTCGTTGTTACCATGCAACGAAAACCTATATAATGAGTCACGCTTACTGAACTAGCATGTAAACCTTCTACCGGAATATTTACATGCGTTATTGCTTCATACATTGAGTTTGACTGATATATTGGAACTGGGTAGTGCTTCAGTTTTACACTATCAGCCATAGAAAATTGCAGGTGTCTATGGACTATGAATATAAGAGCCACAACCCTACCCCCGAGCATTACCGATACACTAAATACTCAATAGTGCATGGTTCACTCTATCCGGCATGAATAATTGCCGAGGTTTATGGCTGCCAGTTGCCACTAATCCCGCTCCCCGCCTACCTTTCCCTCGGGCGGCGATCTCCAGGCGCAGCGTCCCTGTGCTCCGGCACCACAGCGCTGCTCACACTCCTTCTCGGTACTCTCCACGGCACAGTGGTCGGCGTTCTTCTTCTGTTCGCACTCTGCCTCTCCGTCACTCTCTCCCGTGACGGCAGTCACGTTCACACTAACCGTCACGTTCACCGTCACGGGCGCGTCACTTTTGTCACCCTCCCGTGAGAGGAGTGTTAGATTCACCACACCGGATAACTCCCGTAACCGACTTGGCTTCAGGACATACACGATTCCCTCTCTTTCTGTGACATTGAAAGCTCGATGGGCGCGATCGGGTGTTGGCGCCAAATGTAGCGGTCCCGCCAGCAGTTCGCGCGGGAGCTGGAAAACGCGCGCGAACCGGGCAGAGTCGCGTCGGACGGCGGCGGAGAAGATGGTGCCGGCGGGGACGGTGACGACCTCAGGAGGTGGTGAGGTCGGCGGCGGAGGTCGGCAGGAGGTTAGCAGGTTCACCGTCATACGCAGCTGCAACACGGGAGAGAGAGAGAGAGAGAGAGAGGGAGGGAGAGAGAGAGAGAGAGAGAGAGAGAGAGAGAGAGAGAGAGAGAGAGAGAGAGAGAGAGAGAGAGAGAGGGTCAGAATATGAAATAGGTAACCAAAATCACGCTACATTCTCCTAGCTCTAACCACGTCAGTAATCCTTCCTTCAAAAAACCTCAAAATCTTGACACTACTATCAAAACTCGCCCAGACAAACCATTGAGATAACTGTCTTCATTGCACTTGCACAGGTTTCAATGCATCAAGCATCTCTTTTGCATCAGTGTGATAATTGCATGCTGTCACCAAACCATCCCTCTCCCTGGTTTACCTCTTTGTCGCCATAGGAGTGGTGTAGAAATTTATCCTCAAACACGACTTGGACAGAGTAGTTGTAGCCGGGACCGAACTCCTTATATGGACTGGCGTTCCGCCTGTATTTCAGATCTGTAAAAAAGGGGAGAAACGGAACAGGAAGTGTTACTTAAATGAGTGAATGCTCGGTCGTTTAGCTTTGTCTGTAAATCCAGTTTGTCTTTCATCCCTTGTGCCAACTGCCGTCAACACAGAATTACAATAATAATCAACGTAATCACCGCCTTTATCGTCATCACCGTCAACGTCACGATCAATAACAGTCACCTAGGTTAGGTTCGGTTAGGTTAGACTCACCTAGAAATGTTTGAAGCGCCTACACCAGCCCTCACCAATGTCACCTTCTCAAAACCACCAGCACGCACAGCTACCACAGCCTCCCCTCTATCCCTCCCCCCCCCCCCCAAGTCAGTTGTGTACGGTATTTGACCTCAGACACCCACCAAGCATCATCGGACATCCCTCAGGGTGAACAAGATCACCGGATATGAGTGTGGGCGGCAGCGCTGGCCGCAGCGGTGGCGCAAACCCATCCAACCCCACGAGCCGCGCCCGGGAGCAGTTCAATTCCAGGTCACTCGGGTCACATCCCACACAACAGCTCCCAGAGCTCGGTTATGTTTAGCTCAGAAACAGTAGCACAGAGGTGGGAGGGTAGTTACTAGTTGGTAATGGTTCAACAAACGCCAGAAAACGAGGGTGAAATGAGCGAGTCATTTATAACTCGCTGATATTTGATATGACTGATATTAATCCGATTCGGATGTTGGCTGTAGGGCTTAACGTCTGAAGCGACCATTTCTTTGAGAAAATCCGGTGAGTTCGCAGCAGCGTAAAACTAGGGCAGCTACATTTAGCAGCGAAGAGACAGCTTAACTGCACAGTCTACGATTGTTTTTGCATGAATAAACAACCTTGTACTATTTGTCAAAGTGTGGATAAGATTGTGAAGTTTCTACTGAAGAGCATAGGCTCATGTAACGTCGATCCAAATCGGAATACCTGCCAGTTACATAAGAAAGGATGTTCACAAAGAAAAGCATTAGAGGCAAAACTAAAAATGGAAACCTGTACATAATTTAAAAAGAAAACATTTAATGACGCCAAAACCAACGCACTTAGGTATACAACACCTGCTCCCAACCTAATCATTCGATTCCCAATATCGTTAAAAGACACGGTTGAGGATGACTCAAAAGCAAACGAGCGCAGTTTTTATCCTTGTTTTGTAATACCAAGAAATATAAAATAAAGTTAAAACAATCGTTACGTATCGGCGGATACGAAAGCAAGCTTCATTGCTAGTTCAAAGTTATTGCCGCATGACTGAGTAGATTGCGGCCCATACTGATCATAAGTATAGGAATAAAGATGCATTGGTGCAAATTGCAAGGGAAATGACAAATGTTATTGTTACATAATCAAGGCGCTCATATCTTCCTCAAATGTGAACTGGAGGAAGACAAGCAAGAAGATTGTCTTCATGTTAAATACGATCGAAATTATAGTTTTCCAAAAGTAGGAAAAAACGGGTTTCACGTCCGCATTACTGTACGTGATTTGATCACTGCAAATGCATAGATCGGAGAAAATCCGTCTTAAAATTCGTGAGAGAAATTTCTGGGATATACTGAGGGCAATATAAAGACACGTGCACCAATGCCAGATGCGCTTTAAATCAGTTCTTTCCCATGTCAGCCAGACTTTAGCTAGCGCTCGCGAAAATGAAACTGTCAGACGCAGCCGCACCTCCAGCCATATGATTTTTGGAATACCTGCACTGGACAGGGAGCGGATTCATCCTCAGACGCAGGCTGTCTGTTACATAACGACTGCACAAAGTACCTGGTATCAACCACGAAGTGTCCAGGAAACATGTTCACTTGCTCGTAGAAATTTATAATTCAATAATTTTAAGTGGATGAGGGATGTGCAACACATGTATCACGTGCGTACGACAGAAGACCATTTTTCAAACGCTGACAGCGTGATTCGGTGCAAAGTATACACTCTCTCGTAACTGGTCGTGTGAATGTTCGACTGCGCTGTCGCGAGACTGTCGCACGAATCGCGATTCTCTGTCGGCCGACTGTCGCACCAATGTCCCTCGACTGTCGTTCTAATGTCGTTCTAATGTCGCTCTACTGTCGCCCCGTGCGAGTAACTTCTACAGATCCCAGACACCGCTGAAAAGCAGCAGCTGTAGAACTGCAATACAGTCATCCTGCATTGTGCGCAGAACAGATCCGAACTCATAGTCAATGCAGTGGTGCACGCATGAGTACTGAGACAGTCACAAATCATCCACTGCTTGTCCACAATACACAAATAATTAAAATGACGTAAAGGCTTCTATGACGTTGCTAGAAAATCACTCTGACATCTGTGCAGGGATATGACGAAGCCGAGAATACTACAAAGATAGATAATAAGAATAAAAACAAAATACTGAGACCCGCTTTTCCCGGAATGAATCAACGTAATCTCTCATGCGTCTTCGAACAAAAATATCCAATGTCAGCAGCTTCAAAAGGAAACATTCCATGACAGACATATCTGCAACACCTGAAACAAAACATCTAAATCCCCTCTCCCTCTCCCCAACTCACTAGCAAACAGCATCGAGGCCGTCCTCTGTATATCCGGATAGGAGCCGGGCGGCAGGTCGAATATGCCCGGAGTGGCACTGTCGAGCGCCAGGATTCCGGCTGTGTCGCCCTCGATGTGGACCTTGTAGTGACTGGCGTGGTGTTCGTCCATGTCGACTATGGATATTCGCGGGCGGCCCCTCTTGTTGGAGACGTGCTCGTCCTGACGAGAGAAAGAGGGAGAGTGTCAACGAGAGAGAAAGAGGGAGAGAGGGAGAGAGGGAGGGAGGGAGGGAGGGAGGAAGGGAGGAAGAGAGAGAGAGGGGGGGAGGGATGGGTGGAGAAAGAAAAAAGAGAAGGATGGAAGCGGGGTGCTGGTCAGACAGACGAAGGATGGAGAAGAGATAAAAAGACGAAGGAGAGAGTATGGGAAAACTGAAAGTGAAGATGGGAGACTAGAAACGGATGGAAGGGAAAGCAAAGGAGAAACAGCGGATTTATGAAGCAGATCTCATGTTCATGACAAGCATGATCACGGAACAATGACAAGCTTCTTCCACAACTGAACATAACACCCACCTTGAACAAGTTGTGAGTTTCGCACAGGTAGATATCGAAGACGGAGTCCTTCTGGTTCATTTCGGGCGGGTGATTATTCCTGTCCAACACGTCTACTGGGAGGGTCTTATTCTGCGCATCGATCTTCTTCCTGAAGGGTGCCTCATCCTCTGCAGAGAAAACCAATAGCGTCATATGAAGCAACAAGAGAGACACTACGGTACAAAGAATGGCATCTTACCAGACATGGTAAACTACCCGAGCGGCATCATGCATCATAAGAAACATCATAAGTTTTGCGCCCTGGCCTTACGTAACAATGCATACTCAGATCGCTTCCAGCTATCCTCTCTAAATAGCCCAATACGAACCACCTGTCCCGTTTATATATCATTCCCTGCAACTATGATATTAGCGGGGTGGTAGACGTTATAAACGAGCACCCCAACCATTCATCTTTTAGCGCTGTCGGCCGGTTTCAAACTTCACTGACGGAGAGCCGTTCGAGGTTTCGCTGCCGGGCGACTTTTCGCCATATTTTCCACGTATCCACTCAGTGACGTGTGGACGATTGAGTGGAATGTGGAGGGTGGAATTCAGCCGGCGTGGAATGTGGAAGACAGCTGCATTACCCGATATGACAGTGATGGATGCTGCTAGTTCGGATACCAATAAATGGACTCACGGCGAAGAAAGTCGGAAGCGAATGATGATAAATACGATAAATAATATGAATGATCGAGAGCGAATGAAGTTCGGTAAAAGGCATAAATAAGTACAGCTAGTCTCGGGGGTCAAACACTCGTATGAAAGCACGCTATGTCGCTATACATGCTTCGCGTTTGGCTATTCCGAACAGATGGGTCGTATTTTTAGGCCTTGGTTTGACGCAAACCGTGCAATTTCTTACTACAAGTCTAACCGTGTTTTAAGTTATAATTGCTATCATGGCTCATGTATGCATGGTTTGCTTTTTTTTAATGTGGAAGAAAACTGTTGGCCAGGCTAAGCGGAATTGCATCGACATTGGGCCAATGCAGAGAATACCTATTGCGTTGCCGGTAAGACTCGCATTTCAAGTGTTTTTTGAATCTGCATAGATGAACACTTTGACCTCACTTCTCAAAAGGGCTTGGGAAATATCAAGTCTAGCCTCGCACCTGCGCTTTGAAATATCAATTTGAATCTGAGGTCAAGCTCCAGGACACACAGTTGTAAATAGGAACAATAGATGTCATTTTCTCGTAACAATGAGAGCAATGATAAGGTAGGACATGCGTGCAGAACAAGCTCATTGCTGGCTATCTCAGAATGTTCACACTGACAGAATTTCGTCGAATACGGACGCAGTTTGATTTAGGTGACGTTTTGAAATAAATAAATAAACCCGTCACATGCTAGCACGGCAAAGCGCAAAACAATTTGGCGGAGCCAAGGTTTCTTTTATCATTCATTCGCGACATTTGAAGTGATCCAAGCCTAACGGAATTCATTTGAATAATTTCTTTCTCCAAATCAAACCCTCATTTTGGAACCGCGAGTGGAGGCCGAAGGAAGTCGTTACGCCTATTATGTGTCTCCTGGCACTATTCACCCGGACATTTCGATGACCTTTCCGCGGTAGATGGCTAAAGGAAATGCCATTAGTGGCCCGAGGCTGATTGCAATATATTCTACTGATTATAACGAGCGCCTTGACCTTTTGGGGGCACCTCGTTTAAAAGGCACCTAATTGGAATGGAGGATTTCATGTTTTGTGAAACTTTAACCTGGGCTATATAGGTGATGCTGATTTAGCCGGCACATCAAAGCAGCTGTGTACCATTAACTTCAAAGTAATGTCAAAGGTAGTTGGTGGGGCTTAATAAGACGTAAAAACGCTCAAGCTGCAAGATTGTTAGTGCACAATAAGTAGCTACCAATGCTTTAATCAAAGTAAGCTGAGCTGCTTTTAAAGTAGTTGAACTTTGAGCTAGGTTATTAACCCTCGCCGGCACAGGCCATTTTGCGTCCTTCGACGGCACAAGGGGGGGGGGGGGTAAGACCCCCCTTGTTGGTACTTGGTACTTACCCCCAAAGTTGGTAAGACCCCCCCCTCGCGTTTGGCCCCTGATCAAGCTAGAGCTTCGTAAGACCCCCCCCGCCCCTCCCCCTCGCGTTTGGCCCCTGATCAAGCTAGAGCTTCGCGGAAAAAACGAGCGTGTTGCCCGTCACGAGAGGAAGCCGATGATACCCAATTTTAAGGTCCTAGGTCATCGGGTGACCTTCCAGGTCAGGTCAATGACCCGAAAACCGGGAAAATCGGAACCTGTTAGAAAGTCGTAAAGTGTGGCTGCTATGTTGGTTTTCCGGGGTGCTGATCACGAATATCGTGTTAGTTTTGATCAGAGATGATGTCTTTTAGCATTTAGACCAGGTCGGGTCGGGTCAGGTCAGGTCAGGTCAACCGGTAGGGGTTGTGACGGGTGTTCGTAATACGTGTCAACCGCCTCTGACAGCTTCGTAACATGTTACGAAGGCACCAAAACTACTTCGTAAATGTTCAAATGGTTGCTAAATTCGAATTCAGCTCCAAAAACTAGCCTACAAACATGTATAACTCGAAAAAGTGAACCGAGGTCACCCGAGGTCACCAAAGGTCAATGACCTGACCTGACCTTCAGGTGACCTTGACACACACGGGAGTAACATCAAATCACATGTTTGAAAGTTTGAAACCACCAAAAGCTTGCAAACGCGGGGCTAATGCGAGCCGACATACGCCGAATCGCGATTTCGGCCAAACATGGTCACGGAAAGGAGGTCACAGGTCAAAGGTCATTGGGGTCAGGGTCATAAAATTTTCAGGGTAGGTGTAAAATTGATCAATGCGAGGGTACTGAAAGTTTCGTCGCAATCGGCCGCTTTTTACGCGAGTTATTCGCGAAAAACCTTAGGGGGGTTGCATCACCCCCTGTGCCGGTGAGGATTAAGGCAACTTTTTACTAGGAAAACACGCACATTGATTCCGTCTCCCTACGTATTGCGGGACTTCATTCCATGCCATTTCAACATCCACATATGGGTTATCGTCGATGACGATGCCGTCTGCATGCCGTCTGCATCGGACAAACTGCAGCCGACGGCGTGGGTGTACCAGCAGACTCGGTAGACTTCTGTGACTCCAACTAACTTCCGCGGCGACATTACATGACCTTCCGCGACCTTCTGCCCTCCTCCGAGCTTCCTCAACCTCACTGCGACGCACCACTCCCAGAAATTCCGTGGATACTTCCTCCAGCGCAGTGTACCGAATTGCAGCCTTTCTGACCTGTCTCAATATTGCAGACTTCTTTGACCAGTCTCAGCACCTCCCCATATCTCCTCATATAGCCCTTAGTCGTTCCCAATATCCTCCAAACTCTTCTTCTCGTCCTCCCAGCGCCTAAATCACACTTTCAATGCCTAGCCGCATCCATTTAACTCCTTCCCCCTTTCACTCTCTCGATTCCCCTAAACATAACCCATTCCTAAACATAACATAAACATCCCCTCAACCCAAACTATTCCGATTCTCTGATCCCTTTACCCCCCCCCCCCATTCCTTATCCCCCCGTCAACGCTCATCATTCCTTCTCCGTTCCTTTGCCCCCCATCCCTTACCTCCCCCGTCAACTCTCATCTCCTACCCCCAGTCCCCACCTCCCTCCCTCTCCACTCTCTCCCCCTCCACCTGCCGCGTTGCGCCCACCTGGCGTGGCTGTCTGACCTTTCCTAGCCCGTCCCGGGACGGCGGCTGCTCGACTGCAGGTGACTGTGAGCCTCAGCTCTTGGCGGCTTGGTAAGCCCAGGTGGGCAAGCGATACCGCCGAGCCGTCAGAGGTGGGTTCAGAGACGGCAGCGGTCCAGTCGCCCGGAACACCTGGGGAGAGAGTGTGGGAGGGTGAGAGGGGAGTGAGAGAGAGAGAGAGAGAGGGAGAGAGAGGCGCGACATATTTGGCACACAGCTTGACTTCTTGACATTGTCCGGCCTCTGAAATGGACGGCATAGCCAAACACGTGCACCCCCCCCCCAAAAAAAAAATATGCAAATGTGCAACGGGCAAAGCACCCTTTAGCACCCTCCTACGAAAAAGAAATGTAAGCCGCCTTGGGTTATGAATCTTGGATCATGGACACACACTGGTATAATTGCGCCTGCCGGCATGCTGGCATCTGGGCTCTGTCCAGCAGATAAATGTTTTCTCTGGAAGACTGTGGTTCAGCCAGCACTGACGTACGGCTGTTCGTCCGCTCCACTCAACTCAGCTGACATCGAAGAGCTGCACGCCACTCAGACAGCGACCCTCAAGACGGCGCTGGGGCTGCCTCGCCGCGCCCACCACTCAGCGCTCCTCGCTGCTGCCGGTATCGCCCCAGCACATGAGCTGATTCGGTCGGCATGCTTCCGGGCTGCAAGTGGTGCTCTGCGGTCCGAACACCGTCTCCAGCAGGCATTCCTCTCGGGCCTGACGAAGTTGGCCATGTGCCCCGATTTGCTTGGCGACTCTCTTCTTCTCCAACTGTCCCGCATGGGCGGAAACGACTTCTCTGCCGTGCTCGAGGCAGCTGCCGGACGGTCGTGCAGTCACAGGGTGACGCCATCGCGCGCCCCAGACGGACTGGCAGATAGCATCCGCTTCTTGATGAGGGACAACAGCCAAGCTTCGCGTCGCCTACTACGACTGCTGACCTGCTACCTCCCACCGGGGGCCGTGACCCCTGTGACCTAAGCTCCGTGCTGACACATGACGGTTTTGTCATTTCTGATGATTGTTATCAGCTGTCGGGAAATTGCCAATGTTTGGTGCAAAATAAATATGAATGAATGAATGAATAATGGCATATCAATATAACATACGCCATATTGACAAGTCAAAAGACAATCTCATGAGCCCGCAGCCACAAGCTGACACAAATATTGACTCTTCCTGCTGGCTGAAAATCAAATTAGCACCATCACCACCGCAGGTATATCATGCAGTCAAAATGGCGACGTAACTATAATGAATACTGCGAAGGATAATCATAATTACGCCGCATTTCAGATGCAAGAGTCAACATGGTCGCATTGAAAGTCCACTCACATTGCTAGACACTATTTGAGACGCATTCATTCGAATAATAACTAACTGCATCGCTGCTTTGGATCATGAAATTTGTTCGATGCAATCTCGTGGCCCCCGTTGGTATTTCCAAGGTCCGGTGTTTGATGTTTGTTAGCCAGCATTGGAATGCAAAATCAAACGAGCCTGCATAAATGAGTGTTATATACATGTGGTTACCATTAAAACATGACATATGACTTGTTGCGACCTTTTTGCCACGGCTTCGCTTGGTTCACCTTCAGCAAAGCTAATACAATATGAACGAGAACGTTACTAAAAGGGACCTCAAAGGAATGCGATAAAGGATGGGTCAATTCAGCTGAGCGTCTATCATATATGAGGAATGCCGAAAATTTGGCCAATGAAATGGTGTTTAAATAAGCATATATGTAGGACCTATATATTATTACAGACAAATAAAACATTAAAATGGTTTGGGGCAAAAGTTCGCAGGAAAAATAGAAACGAATGAGAATATTTTGTACCAAAGACTAGAAATGGCAACGTCACAAACATCCGAAAAACAGGGTGACAGAAACACTACTGCGCCGCTCTAATTTGGGCAGACATCAGATACATTCGGTCAAATACCCTCTATTGTTTGCACCTACAATTTAGCAGCCTCAAAGGTCGTTTTTTTCACACCACAGTGATCAGGTTTCACATTTGGCGAATGGGGTTCTATTTTGGTTTACGTATTCGATATCTAGCGTATTGGATTGAAGCGGTAAAACGTCAATTCTACCGCTACCATCAACTTTTCCCAACACGATACAAAACGCTATCCATCGTCGGTTCTTCATTTGTGAGAAATTCTTTTATTTTAAAGGCTAGGTATTTGAATGTTGGAATGCAGAAAGCATTGTTTGTCCTTTGTGCCAGACCAGTATCCAATATTTTCCTTTTTCCTTGAATTATCGATACATCACCTACAGCTAAGAGATTTCTCAGATACTATGTGGTGCTTATATGAAACAAATGGCGAATTTGTTTTATCACCATCTGAGAAATCTCTTTTGAATCTATTTGTAAGGCAGCCACCGCTTTCAGATAATATACAGTCAACAAGGCCTCACGTTTAACGCAGCTCATTACTATACATTTATTTGCGCATAATTATACTAGTGGCAACTCCCACAATTAAATATGAATAATGCTAAAAATTTCCGGACAAACAAAGCACGCTCACAATGAAAAATCAAGAGCTTTAGTCAAAGAGCCTTAGTCAAACAACTGCGGCAGACACTTCGAAGAGTCGCCGGAAGTACTATTTCTGAACTCTTCTGCAGATGACCCGTCCATAGACGGACCAGCTGTCCAATGAATGAATAAAGTTTTGATCGATGACTTTCCGGTGACAGTTTTAGATTGAATTCTGACATGTCGGCACCGGCACGAGGGTCGGCTTCTCACACAAATCTCGAGATTTATAAAAAGGTGACTTGCAAAATGTCATCGCTGTCATGGCTCGAAAAGTTTTTTTTTAGCATAGTTCGGCATGGAAAATAGTCGGAACTCGGAAATGCTGTATCTTTTTTAGAAAAAAAATGTCGCACATTTGTTAAATGCCAAAGCTTCAGCTCGATCAATCCATCCTAGAGCAGCAATTCTCTCTCCTCTCCCAGCTCTCTCTCCCTCTCTCTCTCTTTCTCTCTCTCTCTCTCTCTCTCTCTCTCTCTCTCTCTCTCTTTCTTTCTCTCTCTCCCTATCTCCCTCTCTTTCTTTCTCTCTCTCCTTCCTCCCTCCCCTTCCCACTCTGCCACCTCCTCTGGGACGTGTATCCCTTCTTTCTACCCGATAGATATGCCCGTCCCCCGGCACACTCTCTGCCCACGGACTCCGAGCAATAATTGATTTGGTGATGACCATTTGGCGTCCGATGTGGATGACACACACATGGACGGGCACAGGGGAGAGGAGACGTGATGGATGGTGCAGAAAAATAACAGAAAGAAAAGAAAATAAGCAGAGAAAGAGAGAGAGAGAGAGAGAGAGAGAGAGAGAGAGAGAGAGAGAGAGAGAGAGAGAGGGAGAGAGATGAGGCGGATATAGAGAAGAATAGAAAGGAGGTAGCCCTTAGTTAGCAACCTTAGTTAGTTAGCTACTAAGTGATGTTGAAAAATCCTGGAAAACTCATACACTTGCTTAGAGTGTCGCAGCGTAATTGCGCAACTTGTGGCACATGAAGTTAACACATGGCCTTTAGATTACACAAGAAGTGAACACGTTATTAACAAATTTAAAACAAGTTAGGCAATTGATTGAGTTGTTCTGGTCCAGGGCCACCGGATTACCAATGGAACATTCACATGAATGAGGTTGCCCTGAACAGTAGACCTACGTCGTGCTTAATGGGAAGAGGTTTAACATTCAATTACGTCACAACGCTTGTTCAGTTATCCGGCGGATATATTCAGCAATTGCCAACCCATAGCTGAGTTGTCAGTAATTACAATGAACATATGTAGACAAAAACAGTATCGCGAAACTTCTTTGCGCCTAAAATATGCACATATTTCAGTGATAGACTCTCCTATAATATGTAAAGAAAAAATCCCCAGTTAGATATCCTCTAACCTACTTCCCACGAGCTTTGTAAATCTTAAAGGGACCCTCCCACCTTAACATTAGATTTGAGTTGAGATAGCCAAAATGGGGTCCCTGGCTCACAATTACCGGTTTCGGCACTCACAACATCGAGAAATGCCTTATTTCAAAATTGCAGCATTTTGATTCAGAGGGGCTAATGCTTAGGAATACCCCTCTGAATGTGTGACGTCAGCGCAAATATCTAACGATTTTTAACCCTAGAACGCCTAGGGGGGGGGTTGTATCAACCCCCCCCCCTGAGGTTTTTTCGAAGTGCACGCTAAACGGCTAGTCGTAGCGGACTGAAATTTTCAATACCCTCTGGGGCAACCTTTGCGCAGCTTTTGCCGAAAAAAATTGATCGGGTCATGTCAGGTCACGGAGTTATGACGTCATAAGAGGTACAGCCTCCGGCCGACAGTTACCAAACGTGTGCGCCGAATCCCTAGGTTTTCTGCCGGTGATACCCACATTGTTTGATGGATCACGATGAAACTTCCCATGCATGTTGGGGCAAGCATTGGCTATCGTGTGGTGCAAGAAAATTGACCGGGTCAGGTCAGGTCACGGAGCTATGACGTCACAAGAGGAACAGCGTCCGGTACTATTTTTGAAAAGCGCCCGAACCACTATTTTGCTAATTCTTGTCACCTCAATGGGAATATGCAGCAAGATTAGCTTTTATAGGGAGCAAATGGACCTCCCAAATCCAAAAATACAATCAGATTTCAAAAATTTAAATTTTGATTTTTCGAATTTCTGCCGCCGACTGTGACCTTGCCGACTTCCGGCGCTCCCAACGCGCCATTTTTAGAGCTAGGGAAACGAAATACATACCAAACGATAGAGAATTGATCAAGGAACACGATAGTGAAGGTTTTAAGTCGATATCTCCAACCGTTTTGCCGCAATCGCCGCGGAAAGTTGAAAAAGTTGGATTTTTCGGAAAATTTGACCTTTGACCGGTCATAAGTAGGTCAAATGTTGACCTAGGACCAAAAAATATACCACCAATCGCGAGATCTCGTTGAGAGCAATCCGTTGGTTTTTTCCGCTAAGCTCTGCGACCTTCCGTTTCGAAACGCCAGGGGGGTCGTAACAACCCCCCCCCCCCCTGGTCGTTCGTGTTATGAGAAATGGCCTGGTCGTGCGAGGGTTAAATGTTTGACTAAAACGTTTTATAGCACGCGGTGGTATATGCTATTTGCGCGCAACATCTGCCGCAAACGCCGCACTTCTAAAATAAAGTCGCTAGAAACAGCGGAGATCCCAAAAAAGTAAACAAAAGTAAAAGTCTAATATCTTGAAAACCAGTGAATATTTTTCGGTGAAATTTGGTAGATATTCGTTTTCGCTCTTTCTGAACCGAGCGACATCACTTTCATGCCAATTCATAAACTTTTTTGAAGGTGGGAGGGTCCCTTTAACCCTATAAGTGGCAGGGGGGGGGGTTGTTTTCATCCATCCCTCAGGTTTTTCGGGAATATCTCCGAAACCGCGCTGAAGCTACGATGCTGAAATTTTCTGACTTTTCCTAACACTAAATTGGGCACATTCCCTGAAAATTTCCAGTTGATAACTTTACCAGGGGCGGCTCCAGAGCACTGGGAATTGGGGGTCCTATTCGTGAGGCGAGTCATTTGGGCGAAGATCACGATGCTGATGTATTATAACTGTATGCACCAGTTTTACGAACAGTGAATGAAAGGTATCATGTGATAACATATACAAAGTAATTGTGCATCCTCTTTTGACACGTTTTTGCTATAATAGGCGGATCCAGGCGTCCAAAAAGGGGGGTTATGTTTTATCTCCCAACATAGGTGCCCTGACACCGCCTATGCATGACCAATACATTTGTAGTCGTTCTCTCATAAGAAAATTGTAACATAGCAAGACCATTACCACCCTTTTTAGAAACAGTACCAACAAACACCTTATTTACTATACTTTTTGTGTACCCCCAATCTCAATGATCTGTATCCGCCTATGATTTTTGAAAATGCATATTTTTAGGATCCATGTGAATTCCTGGTTCATTCTCATCGATCGGCAAAAGTTGCGTTAAGATTGGTTCAGAAACCTAACCGTGATAAACAGTCTAAAATGTATCTGCAATTTGCCCGTTTTTACCCCCCTCTACCCCCTATTGACATCTTTTAATTTTATTTTTTAGAAATGTAGATCACGTTGAGCGAAATCGAATGCCGTTTGAATTTTGAAAATCGGCCCGTTAGATCTCGAGATATCAAGGGGGGTCGTAAACAGCCCCCCCCCCCTGCCACTAATAGGGGTAGCCAGGAGCCTGCCACTAATAGGGTTAACCCGCGCCCCGTAGGGGGGGGGGCCGAAACGGCCCCCCCCCTGTCCTTTTCGGTCGATATCTCCTAAACGGCTGGAGATATCGCCACCAAACTTTCAGGACCCCCCCCCCCCCCGGGCATCAATTTTACACATTGTGACCAAAAATTTTCCAGAGGCTGTGATAGGTTGGCCACAAATGACGTCAGAGTGACGTCATGTTCTGTCATTTTCGACCGAAAAAAGACCTTCGCGAGAAGACCTGTCAGGCCTACAGCTTTGAAGATACAGAAAAATGATCAAAACATAAAAGGTGTAGAATTGACAGGGCTACAAAACTGCAATCTCGGATTTTTGAAATTTTTGAGTTTTGATCCCCAAAAATCAAAAAAGCATTTTTTGGATATATTAGCCAAAAGATCCAAAAAGTTTTTTGAGTTTCGAAAAAAACGGAATATATGTGATAGTACCTACCGTCTTCTATCTACATACCAAATTTCAGATCGATACCTCGTTTTTTGGCCAAGTTATAGCGAAAAAACTGTTCAAAAATGATGACGTCAAATTTTCAAACTCAATTTTTGGCAATTCTAGAACTCGTAGAGCAAAACAAAGACCACCATTAGACTCCCCGTGACGAGCTGCATCGAATGGATACCCATTTAATGCAAAAATATCAACTTTGAAATTTGACCTAATTTGACCTGACCTTGACCTGACCTTCACCAAAACGTGACCTAGGCTGGCCCCAAAGGCTGCCTAACCCACATAATCGCATTTGTCATGTAAAATGGACCATAAAACATGTATCACACGACACATTCATATTGTGACCCCCGGTGACCTGACCTCGCTGTGACCTGACCTGGTATCAGTGACCTCAGATAGCAAAGTATGTGTTTGACGAACAATATACCATCGATGGTTTTCAAGAAATTACCAATTTACTCGATTTCACAGCACATTTCTTGAATTGCCTGTGAACGGTGAAAATCTGACCTTTGACCTGACCTGTGACGTCATCGGTTTGACCTAGGTCAATGAAATTTGGTCACAAGGTAGTTCCCGGGTAGGGCTATCAAACGGCGTTTGAATTTTGAAAATCGGCCGGTAACTTTCCGAGATCTTAGGGGGGGGGGCCGAAACGCCCCCCCCCCCCCCTACGGGTGGTAGGGTCCGCCGGTAGCCCTACGGGGCGCGGGTTAACCCTATTCCTGGCGGGGGGGCCTCAGGAGCCCCCCCCCCTGAGGTTTTTTGGTTATTTCTCCCAAACGCGTTGAGCTAGGAAGCTCAAATTTTCTGAATTTTCCTAAAAGGCTTCTACGCAACATGTCTGAAAGTTTTGAGTTGATCTGACCTCAGGTCAGGTCACCAGAGGCGGTTTGGTGACCCTACCTCAGAAAAGTTTGCAATCACGCCAGAGCTAGAGTTTTTGACCGATCAATTTCTTCTCTTCAGGCTTTAGTTAGGGTACCAGTATGTGCAATTTGTATATCTCGGAATTTTGATATCGGTGACCTAAGGTCAGGTCAGTTTCGCGACCTCCCCATTATAAGTCAATGGGGGAAAAATCAACTCCCTGTTTTTACCACTAAAACGGGTCGGAATGGCCCCATATACCATACATGACTTCATATACGATCAACCTTCACTACCTTGAGGTCTGTTTTGCTGTTGGGCAGCTGTGAGGTCATGTGACGTCATCAAAGGTCACCAAAAGTTTTTGGCCAATAACTCCGTACAGGAACAAGATACAGACGCGTGGATGGTCTCATTGTGTTCAGCTCGTCAAGACGCATCGAATGATATACATGATGACCTCGAGGTCACGTGACCTGAGGTCAACCTTTGACCTTGACCTTGCGAGGTCAACATATATATCATTCGATGCAGATTGACGAGAGGATCACGATGATGCCCTTAGTTTGTTCCTATCTTGACTAATTCGAAAGTTATTCGAGAAAAACTCTCTCCATATCTAGCGCCGCCATTTTGACTTTTTCGACCCCTGTGACGTCATCTTTGACCTGACCTGAACATGACCTTAGTAAAAATTGTAGATCTTGACCGTGCGTATCCGATGCCGTTTACCGTTTGTCGCTATCTTTCTTCGTTCTCGAGATCTCAGGGGGGGGGGGGCCGAATCGGCCCCCCCCCCCCGCCAGTTTCTTGTCCCGGCGGAGCCCGCCAGGAATAGGGTTAAGGGGCTTTCAGGCCAAATATGCATCTGTCCGCAAGCGGGGCAAGGCCATACATATATATGTAGGGTCTAACCATCATTTACAGCGTTACCCAGTATGGCATCTCACCCTGCAGACTTTGGAGTTACTTCACAGTGAGATCCTACCAGGTAAACGTGACCTGACTGCTAAATGATCCTCTCTACGCGGGTTTCAATTTGAAGCATGACTTGGACGGATAATCTCGTTGGTTTGAATCCAATGATTTAAGTCAGAAAATAGATCGCAGAGCACCGGATATCAGAAATCCTAATTGATGTACCTTAGCCTCAGCCACGAGCAAATGTCGGACTTCTCATTAATCCATTGTTGAGCAGAAAGGATCGCGGATTCCTTATAAGTGCACATAATACCTAAAGGCAACAGAATGCCGCTGTATCTACTTTCAATATTTGGAGCTCAATTGAACAGCATTGCAAGTTAGATCTGAAAAAAGTTTCAGGATGAAATAAATATCACCACCACGTTTTATTCAAATCGCGAGTTCACAAGAGTGCATCATTCATTGCACTATGCATGTGGAATGTGACTGCCGGTTGCCAAGCTCGTGTCAATATTTCTCAATAAAGGTGGTAACGAAACGAGCTCACGTTCAATTCAGCTTCTGTGAAACCATTTCAGATGTTCAGCTTATGTAACCAGTGGAAGTGACGTCATAAATTGAATACGGCCTACGGATTGGTGGAAGGTGTGTTCAATTTGCGGCCTTCGTGCTGGTTACGCAACAGATTAAAACCAGTAAAACGCCTTTTGGGCGAAGAACGAGCGAGCGAGATAGTGAGCCCTCCACGTGCAGAAGGGCGAGAGGGTTCTTCCAACGGGCTTGTGCAAAGCACCCTTCTAACCGGTCACTAGCGGTGTACCAAATTTGAACGCAATCGGCCCAGCCGTTCCTGAGATCTGGAAGCGGCATTCTGCACGTGCGCACGTGCAAACGGGGTCCAAAATGACTTTTGCACGGCACCCTACTAACCGGTCTTCAACCGTGTACCAAATTTGAGCGCAATCGGCCCAGCCGTTCTCGAGATCTGGAAGCGGCATTCTGCACGTGCGCACGTGCAAACGGGGTCCAAAATGACTTTTGCACGGCACCCTACTAACCGGTCCCCAACCGTGTACCAAATTTGAGCGCAATCGGCCCAGCCGTTCTCGAGATCTGGAAACGCCCCCTGCACGTGCGCACGTGCAGTAGCACCCTAACCGCAACACATGGGAATGCATTGCCTGGTGGGTGCCTAGCTGTATGCCAAGTTTCAGCGAAATCGCCCCAGTAATTACCGAGTTACTGAAATGGGAACAAATTTGGCACCTCTTATTGTTGTATTTTGCACGTGCAGTGGGGGTCACTCACATAGATGAAGAGTATCCGACCTTTGGTAGAAGGGATGCAGCTACCCTATAAAAATGACCGCAAGACAATCGCTCAAGCCGCTGCTGAGATATGGGCCTCTCAAAATCACTACTTTTGCAAAACAGCTTGAACACCCTTGACTTTTCACGTGGCACGTGCCACGACGGTCACTGAGATGTATCAAAAGTAGTCAATTACGGGGTAGAAGGGATGGGGCTACCCAGCAAAAAAGACCGCAGGCCATTTGGTCCAGCGGTTGCTGAGATATAAGCCTCTCAAAAGCGTTACAGGCCGGGCCGGGCCGGGCCGGGCCGGGCCTCTCATACTGAGATTTTTCCGTTATATTGAAAAGACTCACTTCGCTCGCTGCGCTCGCTCGCTCGTAATCAGTAGCATGTAACCTAAATTTGGCAGCCGTGTCATTTACAAGTACCTATCGGTGAATCAGCTGGTTACGCAATATATTTAAATCAGTAACATGTAGTTACATTTAATGTTGCAAGCCATTTACAAGTACCCATTGGTGAAACAGTCTGTTTCAGCTAATTTAATAGTTAATGTTTGCAACATACCATCCTAAGACTTGGTGAATGCAAGCAGTGATACCTCAAATATTTCCAGATTCACCGACACAATCTAGGTTGTACACCAAACTGGCGTCCCGGAGAGCTGAGCCATCTAACCTCTAAGCACGATGCCATCAAATTCAAAGCGCCAATGACAATCTCACAACAGAGGCCTCTTGCACCAAACTACCTAGCTAGGTAAACTCAAAACAGCTTCAACACTCACGACAAACTACATTATCACGACAAGCTTACGACACACTGAACACCCACAAGCCCTCCGAAACTCCTGCTCCAACTCACCGTCTTTAGCCCTCTCGGCGGTGAACCGGTACTCGGGGGCGCCACAGAGCACGTGAGCCGGTGACCTGAAGTCGACCCTGAGCGGATCACCTGCCGCCGGGCCCTGCAGGGGGTCCTCGAACCACTGCAGACCGGATAGGAACTCCCAGGGGCCCCAGCACAGCTCCTGGAGGTAGACAGAGACATTAGAGTCAACGGTGGGCTAGTCTGACTACAGTTAAACGCTTATGATTTTGTGTTGACATTTGCGTTTTGTTTTTATCACACATTTCCTCGCTTTAATTTTATCGTACAATTACTGATCAATACAGCAAAATATCATATCCCGCGAGTTGCTGGGGGGGGGGGGGGCGTTAAACGCCCCCACTTTTTTCGCCGGGCCATAGCAAAAACCGGCGCCGCAGGCGCGCCAAATTTTGGGCAACTGTAGGGAATTGATTGAAGTTTATTGTGACAAAGTTTCGAAAAAATCGGTCGGAAATTTTTTTGAGATATCGAGGTTTTAGTGACGTCATGATTTCTGAGTTTTCGACCAAAAACAGCATATGTTCAAAAATCATATAAAATCACAGAATAGACATACAGACATGCCGTAAACGCCATTAGACTGCCAATACCATGAACAATCACATGGCTATCTTCGATTATTGATTATTGTTCCGCATTGTCCAAAATCTTGAACTGAATCTTGGCAATTTCTCGTGACTACTTCACGACCATGACACATGCATTTCTTAAAGGGACTATCCCACCTTCTAAAATGTTGTTAAAACCAGTTAAATTGTGCCTGACTTTATAGATTGGATGACCAGGAACACGGTTCTGGCATTTATTTTTCATTAAACATCTTAGACTTCCCATATTCCAAACACAAACTTTCAAATATGTGACGTCACAGCCCAAAATTACCTCCTTCCCCAGGCCACATTACTGTCACAAAGCTGATTCTTTTTACTCTGTAGGCACCACAACAAAGTTCAGACCAAGTTTTAAGCAATTTTTCAACGAACAAACCCATTTAAATCAGAATGACTAAACGAGGTGACGTCACACTAACGGTCGCTCCATGTTGAAGATAGGGCCTTGTACAAGGCCCATTTGCAAATGAAGGGAACTAATTTATTCAACACCAAGAGGCCGCGGGGGTTGCAACCTAGATAGATAGTGGTTTCTGAACCTCGCCGCAAACTTGGCTATCTCAACTCAAACCCCATGTTAAAGGTGGGATAGTCCCTTTAAATTGAACTTTTTTAGCCAAACACTTACACATATGATAAAATGAATGTCACCATCGTGTTCTACGCCCCAACGTACTCATAAAGCATGTGTCACAGGCTGCGAATATCAGTTTTAATTTTCGGGAATATGTGCCTGCCCGGTTGACCTGACCTTGACCCTGACCTATGCTTGGCTGACCCCTACATGGAGCTGACACTCTTGTAGGCCTTATAATGATGGATTGTGCACCGTTTTGACAGAGTTTATGACGAGAAGCGCCCATTGCGAAGTCCTGAAGTCCATGCTACTGAAAGCCCGAGTTCAGGCGTTTGACCTGACCTTGACCCGACCCGTGACATCAAAATTCAACTTTAAAGTACTCATCTGAAGCGTCTCGTCGTGTTCTTTCGTTTGCCGCCTCGTGCGTTTCGCTGCGCCTATTGGTTCTTGAGTTATCGGCTGGGGGCGTTTAACGCCCCCCCCCCCCCCAGCAAACGGTGGGTGGCGAAATACCCCAGCAACTGCCGGGATATATAGCATGTACTGCTCAAAGTTTATGCATAAATGTAGAATACATGGTACCTATATAGGTAAGTGAAAAAATGCAAAAACAAACAAAAACGCGTAGGAAAAGATAGCCTATTTGGGCCCAAAACACAGATTTATATGAACATTACATATGCATATGAAGTGACACTGCACAGTGAATACCACACAGCATGGAATATCGAAATTCAATGATACGCCTTCCAAGATCCGCACCCTTCAACGCACGTGATATTTCGTCATAGCTTCCGACCAGAGCCAACGTAATCCTCCATCCAATCGGCGATCATATTCAAATTGCAGGCAGAGGCAGCACATCTCACATTCCAGTGAAACGATTACTGGCTGGGATTTATCCGGCCTCTGAAGCAGTAGTTTTGAGAATGAACGTGATGCGTGGGCTAAATCATTTGTCTTAGAATCGAGAGCATACTGGTTACGAGAGTCATGAGATTGATTTTTGAACAATTGTACAGAATAGATGTTGTGTGTCGTTTGAATTTATCCCATTCAGTTTCAACGTATGTAAACGCATGGTTGCTATTGCCTTTTCTTCTCTTTCAAGAGCATTGGCGTCTTGAAGGGCCACATTATACACCAAACTTAAGTCATTAGCATTGTAAGAATTTCAAGCAACCTACTTCAGCAATCAATGCCTTACTGGAAAACTGAACGCTATTAATTCATTTACATGTGTAATGGCTAACTACATAGAGAGGATACCTTTGAAGCCTGAGCGATGTATACTATATTGTTGGACTGGGAATTCTTCAGCCATGCGAATTATTTTCGCGTCAACCGTCACATTATCGGTACCTGTGCCCATTCCATGTCAGCTTAACATGTTTCTTCATTTGGGTAGCCCTAATCGAAGGTCATTTCTGATACCGATCAAATCCGAGCAAAAACTCGTGAATCTCTACCGACTAGCCTTGCTCAGAAGGGCTGACATCCAGTTATGGTCCGTGCCAAAATAGATCATTCGGACCAAAGCTGGATGAAAAAGAAAAACCTGCCTAATTGACTGAAATAAGATGTAATGACGTAAGAGGATAAAGAAGAACGAGATGCATTGATCAAATAGTTTGTCTGAGTTGTTGTTGGTTGATTTGTTTCCTTTTGAAAATCTGGTACAATAACCATTCATCGCTACTAACGTTGACAGTCGCATCCAAAATAAAACCACATGTTGGTGGTTAATTTTTCCCGTTTTCCTCCGACGGCCAGACATACACTGACCGATTACCGGCCATGTATCCCTTTACAAATGCTCTGTTTTGCTCATTACATCCAATGGTCAGAGACATTACCGAAATGTCATTATCATTTGTCATTCATAGCAGATGATTTATGCCTGGTGTATCCTTGCATCTGAATACTGAGTGTAATTGTATTGCTGTCATGTGTTCAAGACCAGTTTCTTTTCCCTCATTCATGCTGACCAGCCATTTGTTCTCAAACTTCTCATATTCCCACAGTCTCACCCGTCCACTGTAACAAATTTACCACAAACAGCCCACACAGCCCCCTCATTCCGGCCCAGTGATCCTTTTCACGCCCACCGGAGTACATTCGTTCTGCCCAAAGGAGTCTCACATCGGCCCACCTTCCCATAATTTGCCGCAAACTCCACTGAAAGGTCATCTATCAGACCATTCCCCATATACATCAGACATTCAACATATCAGGCCAGGCGCT